GTGTAGCTTATTTTTAAGGAAAGCTTTGCATAATCTGGTAGAAGTCTTGCATATGCTGTGAAGGACTTTTCCAAACTTCACGATCAATTTTCTGGTGTTCAAAAAATGAATGGTCTTACAAAAGTCATTTTCAATTATTCTCTTTACAGCATACCTGTTACGCCCTTTATATAGCATTGCCGTATCATTAGCAAAACTGACTATGTTACCTACATATTTAATTTTGACTTTTGCCCTCTTAATTCCTACCAACCACATGCACAATTTTGAACTAAATTCTTTCTAGATGGAAACATTGTATGACAGCACCTGTCAGCAGTTCTTAAGAGATTGCCCGCGGCAAAACTTGACAGTTGTTATCACCAAAAATTACAATACCTTTGATAACAAACAATTATGGTCTTCCTGGATACCAGAAATGATATGTTACTCTTGAAATAGTCTTCATAAATACCATTCGGGCATCAAATTTGTTCATGGGAAAAAAAATCAAAAAAACACAATGCTATGTAATATTTTTTTAACAAAAACATTCGTGCAGCTGCACAAAAATCTTAGTCAGCAACGTCATTTTCCGATTTTTTTCGTAAAAATCAGATGCCCTTATATGACTTATGAATATATCATTCAAATAGATATTAAATAAAAGAGGGCCTCACACGGCACGCTTAGATACACAGCATTTGACCAAATTTCCTTACTGTATAATTTTAATAATTTCACTACTTGGGGCCTTTTTGATAAATAACTTTTCGTTGAAGAATATATCTTCCCACGAAGACATAATTAACTGTATCGACTGCCTTTTTCAGATCGACAAATATAGAAATAGATGGAATTTCCTCATAAAGGTTTTGGATGGTTTGATTCACTAGTACAACAAAATACTTTATTGCAGCCAGCTTGAAACAAGCTACAAACTTGTTGCTTGGTTATGGCATAACGCGTAATGGTATATGATAACATTTCATGATGTTTGAACTGGTCTGAGCTAACGTAATGCAATATTCAAGTCACGCTCATAATTTTGTGCTCTTAAAGCGTCAGTATTTTACGGCTATTGCAAAATGCGGTGATAAAACGGCGTTGTTACTTTCTCCATGTAAGATTGATAAACAGAAACGCTACGAATTGCTTTTCGGAAGCAACCGCTGGTATTTATTGAAATCTAATCGTATTTCTTATGTGATCTGGTACATATCCTTTGATCTGGAGTTGTAAAAATGCTAAAATATATATTACGAGTATATTAAAATCAATAACAATGTATCTATAACAACACCAAGGATTTTTGTAGATTCGGAATTTTTGGTGCAAAATAACGCTTACGTTTTTTTTTAAAGTTAACGACAACATTATGATTAGGTGAATATTGGATTAACTCACTAATATCACTTTGTAAAATTTCATCATTCCGTGAATTGAAATAATGCAGCAGTTGCGTATCGTCTGCGAGACGTTGAGTGTGTGATTTACAATGATTTTGTTCAAGTCAAAAGTATAGCAGGATGAACATCGATCCTAGTACAGAGCCTTGATGCACGCTTGAGAGCATTGTTACTTGTAATAGACTGGGATCAGGATTGAACGAGCATTTTTCGAGATAATTTATTTCACGAGTAATAGTTTTGTTGTACCACTCTAAAATTACATCATGGGTATGCTTCACACATTTTTTCCAAACCTCTGGTGTAATTTATGACAGAGCTTCATTCCACATAGCTAAAACATTTTCATCACTATGACTACATCTTCCAATATGTCTATCATAATACTGCTTAGCATTGGCCCATATTAACTCGATGGCATTAAATTCACACTGGTATGGGGGGGTACGAATAACTTCATGTCCATAACTTATAATTTCATCTATTAAATACTTCTTTTCCTTACGATTTCTTTTCACTATATTCAATAACTCTACTTTAGTTAATGTTGGTTGAAACACAATTTCATTTTTAACCAGCCAGTCAATAATCTCTTTTTTGGAGAACTTGTGTTTGGAGTCTTTTCCAATAAAATGCTATGATAGGATGCATTATCCATAATTATCACTGATGGCTCTTCCAAGTTGCAGAGGAGCTTTTCTTTTAGCCACTTAATGAATGTCTCGCCGTTCATATCACCATGGTAATCTGCAGATTTAGACTGTGAGGATAATAACAGGCTTGCTCCATCAAAAAATCCTTTTTCGCTCCCTGCATGGACAACAATAAATCGCTTTCCTTGAAAGCCCAATGGTCTCCTTACACTTTTTATTGACTCATCTTGCCAAGACTTTTTTGGACTGCCTTTTGAAAATATCCATGTTTCATCCATGAAAACAATTTGATGCGAGGAAGTGTTCACATAGTCATTATAACTTCTCAAAAATTTGGTGCGAAGTAAAGCAATACTGGTTTGCTCAACTAGAAATCTTCTATTACCATCTTCACGATAGGCTGCATATATCGGCCACGGCCCTGTTTGGGAGACACACACCTGTGCAGTCTCATTTCAGATCTCTTAAATAAAAACACCAACCTTTTCATAGCTGGTGACTTCAATCTACGTGACATTAGCTGGCCTATGTCAACCATTCCTGAATGCAATTCTTCTTCTGCTGCTTACATCGACTTGCTACGCAACTCTAGCATATCTCAACTTGTTGATCGTCCAACGAGATTCAGGGAAGGACAGACGCCTAGGGCTCTGGATTTGATATTCGTTAACGACGCAGACTTTGTTTCTAATTTAGATTATTTGCCACCTTTTGGCAAGTCTGACCATTGTTCACTTTTATCTTCTCTCCAGTTCAATATAAATAGTCGTTCTACAACCGATAAGTTTAAAACCATCAAAATTGTAAACCACGATGCTCTTAACCAAGCCCTGTCTGAAGTCAACTGGCCTGCTTTGCTTAACAACCGTAGCACCCAAGATATGTGGGACACTTTCGCTCAACGAGTCCTAAGCGAAACGGCTGACAATACTGTTGAAAAGAAGGTATACTGTGACCCCTCAAAGCCCTGGATCAACTCTAACATATCGAGGATGCTTCGTCACAAGAGATCTTTGTGGCAACGGTTTAGGAGGAGTGGCCATTCACAAGATTACGTGTCTCATCGATCCTTTTCTAACCTCCTATCTAGAACGTTACATAATGCCAAACATGCTTATGAACGAAAACTCGTTACCTCCAAAAATAAGAAGAAGCTGTTTCGGTATCTAAGAACAAACCTGAATTCCAAAGTTTCATCACCTCAGATCCGCGACGCTGACGGTCATCTCCACATGGATGCCACCGAATCTGCCAACTTACTGGCAGAGTCCTTTAGTGATGACTTCGTCGATGAGCCTAATGGAGACCTTCTACCGACCACTATCTGCCATAGGTGTCCCAACAGCCTTTGCGAAGTTGAGTTCCTGCCTGAAGATGTATTAATGCACCTGCGAAATCTGAAGACCTCTTCCTCCCCTGGTAAAGATGGGATGACGGCTGCTGTACTTAAAAACTGCTCTTCAGCACTGGCCCTACCATTAAGCTTGATATTCACATCGTCTTTTAGATCTCATACCCTACCCTCATGCTGGCTTAGTGCTTCTGTTACTCCTGTATTCAAAAAGGGCGACAAATCCTCCGCTAAAAATTATCGACCAATAAGTCTCGTTCCTATCGCCGCCAAAATAGCTGAAAGAATCATATTAGATAAGCTCCAGTCATTTGCTTTCGAAAATGACCTTATCCCTAAGAATCAGCATGGATTTCTCCCTGGTCGATCAATAATGACCAACCTTCTCCACTCTCTCAACGATTGGACTCAGTATCTGGACACCAAGACTCCTGTTGATATAATCTACTTAGATTTTTCTAGGGCTTTCGATCGCGTACCACATAGAAGGCTTCTGTTTAAGTTGGAATGTATGGGAATAAGAGGCGAGTTGTTACTGTGGATTAAGGCTTTTCTCACCGGGAGGACTTTCTCTGTGCGCGTCAGTGATAGCCAGTCTCACCCTCATCATGTAGCAAGTGGAGTTCCTCAAGGCTCTGTCTTGGGGCCAGTGCTGTTCCTTCTGTATACCAGTGACCTGCCCGCATTGATTTCCTCCACATGTTCAGCTTATGCCGACGACACCAAGATTTACAATACTGTCGTAAATTCTGCTATGCTTCAACGAGATCTTGATACTGTTTGTCAATGGTCAGTCAGTTGGCTTTTACCCTTAAATCTAACCAAGTGTTGTGTCCTTCACCTCGGGAAGACAAATCCGCGATTTACATACAAGATCTCTGACCACAACATCGAAGCAGTTTCGAGCCACACTGATCTGGGCGTTGTAGTCAACGATCGTCTTTCCTGGTCAGAGCATATTCACCACGTTACATCAAAAGCCAAGAAACTTCTATATATGCTGGAGAGGTCTTTCAAAGGATCCGATGTCAAAACTTGCGCCTACATTCACAAGGCATTCGTGAGGCCAATTCTTGAATTCGCTGGCCCGGTATGGGACACTGTGCTTCTGCGCGATAGAAATCTCGTCGAATCAGTACAGCGTCGGGCTACTCGTATCCCTTTTGGAGCACGAAGACCAAGCTATGAAGATCGCCTTGAATTATTCAACCTGACCTCATTCTCTGAGCGAAGACTTCATGGCGATCTTATAGTTACGTTCAGGATACTTCATGGTTTGATGGGCACCAACCTCATGCATCTATACCATCTGTCGCGCAGCAATCTACGCGGACACAGCTTCAAACTGCATAAGGAGCCATTTAAAACAACAGTCCGACAGTGGTTTCTTCCCAACCGCATACTCAACACCTGGAATAGCTTACCTGAAAGTGTGGTTGGTGCTACTTCAGTTAATAGCTTCAAAGTGCAGTATGATAGCTGGAGGAGTGTACAAACTTTATAGCTGTGAACTGTATTTTTTTATTTTTTTCTATTTGATGTATTTGTGTTACGTGTCCGTACACTATATTTACTGCATGAGCTTATAGTACTGTGTACTCTGCTCATCTCAATTATCATAATAATAATAATAATCTTTTTTATATTTAAAGCCTATGGTGGGCAGCACCCTTTGTAAAGAGCTATTGCTGATAGAAGCAAGCTCTTTCTCTTTAAGCGTTTTATTCAAATTTGCTATTGTGACATGTTTCTCTGCAACAAAACAAAAAATCGATAATTTGGAATGTACCATCTCACGCTCACTATCATTACTTTCACTATGCATTTGATACACTGTATCTCGTATATTATGCCTGACTGCATCAGATAAATCTGTTGTCTTAGACTGGGTCTCTTCTTTCCAGGTGATCTTAGGACATTCTCATTAGATGATAAACGGCGCTGTATTCTGGTAATAGTGGACAAACTGATACTTAGTGCCTGAGCCACCCTCTGAAAAATAATATAGAATTAATTGTCAATCATATGACCATATTTCTAAGTATTACAAACCTCTTGGACAGCTAACAATGGTAATAGAGGCCCTCCATTATCCTTTTCTTGTTGAAAATAATTCAGCAAGGGTAGTACCAAGCCCTGTGATTGAGAGCCAAGAGTTTTGCCTTTCATAGCGAAAACTAGAATTAAAGTCTTAAATGATGCTCTTATGTTGGAAATTATTTAGTTTCTACCTTAATAATAATTTTTATGAGGAGTTTTTGTTTTGAAAAAAACAGTTATACACACAACAGAATACACCTCAAGACAGGAACACCAACGACCAAAGTATTGTTCGAAAACAACCTAACCTGCAACGAACTGTCAACACGCTGACATGACATAACCTCACTTGTCATCTTTCAAATGTGATCGATCATGAAACATGCAAAAATCGTCTGTCTTTATCGGATACATGCAATTCAGCAATACTACTTGTTTAGACAATAAAATTTTGTTTGTCTCTGTCTAACACATCTGAACCTTCATTTAAAAATATTCACAAATGGCTGTCGTTTGTCTTTACTACAGAATAAAATGATGACGTAATCGTCATCTTTCGTGATTTCGACTATATGTTGTGTACCAAAGATCAATCAAAGTTAAACTCACACGCCCAGGCCAAGCAACATCGACGAAGTTCAAGATGGTGAGACAAAACAGGACACTTATGTTTGTGAGCTTCAACAAACGGCCGCGCAGAAGTCGTATGTATGTTTGAGGGTGATTGACTTTCACTCGTCAAAAACCGTGATAACGTGGAAATTTGTGGCTCTAATATCGGTATCGGTTGATTATGTCTACAGGGTACTGGCAGCTCAGTTTTTTTTTGAAAAACGCTCAGACCCGTCGATTTTGTTTTCGAGGGGGACACAAGTTTGGAAAAAAATCACGTTAGCACGTGCAGCCCTCTAAGCGGCGGTGACACCACCCCCACAATCTTGAATGGAAAGGGGGGTCGAGTGATACCTTATTTTAAAGGTACTTCAATTCCCTTTATAATAATATAAAATTAATGTACTTCAATTCAGTAGTATTGAAGATTTATTGATTCAAAGCTTAAATAAAACTAATACATCAACATTAGTGGAAATCAATACAAACAACAAAATGATAAACAAACCATTGGCGTAGTGAAGAAAAGCATTTACTTATTAAGTAAATTATTTTAGTCAAATTTCTTCTGAATGTAGTACAAACTAATCTGATGTACCTATTAAAGTCTACTTTAAGCTTTAAATCAATAAATCTTCAAAACTACTGAACTGAAGTTCATGTATTTTACATCATTATAAAGGGAATTGAAAGACCTTTAAAATAAGGTATCACTCGACCCCTCTTTCCATTTAAGATTTAAGGGTTGGTGTCACCCCCGCCCAGGGGGCTGCATGTGTTAACGTGATTCTTTGCCAAACTTGTGTCACCCTCGAAAGCAAAATCAACGGGTCTGTGCGTTTTTCCAAAAAAAACTGAGCTGCCAGTACATGCGTCTGTTTCGTTTTCGATGCGCCACCCTGTATAATATAAAATGAACGATTTCATATTAAAAACATAAAACTGGCCGTTAAGGGCTGAACCAGATATTTGCTGCAAGACAGTTATCAATGCAATAATAAACTATTACATATTTTTTCTATATACAATTTATTTATATGTGAATGCCGACAGGCCGATTTCACCAATAACTCATTTTTCTGGGCTTTTGCTGTTGGGTGTAACTAATTTCTTGATTTGCATATACGGAAAATCGGAACGTTGTACGCCAAAAAGTAAGCTAGATCCGCTATTTAGGCTCAAAATAGCGAAAAATGTATACTTTTAAAGACGCGGAGTTATTAGTTACGGTGCACGTTTTTTAGCTCGCGCTTTCATCATTATTGAAACTTTTCTCGAATAAATGTGTGCATTCACCTTTTCTGACTAAACCTATAAACGCGATCAGAAGATGCCGAACCCAACTGAAAGCGGTGTCTGCTTGAAAATAACACTTTTGAGCCTACCTCCTAATTGTGTATTCTTTTATTTTTTTGTAATCCGCAGGTATATTATGGAAAAAAACATAAAAAACGTCAAAAAAACCGATAACATGTCATCTTGCGGACTAGGTAGTTTTTAGTGTGCAAATAGCTTATTCCACGTTTGCTCGCCCTGATAGCAGTTAGTTGACCTTTCAGCAACACGTTCAGCTACAGAACGAGTTTACAGCAAGTGTACAACAGCTTGTCCTAAGTTAAAAACCTACGTTATGTCACAAAAACGTACGATAGGTTGTAAAAACCGACAGAATGTTACTTTTCAAGATCCGTAATATTCAAGCCTGTTAGATGGGGTCGTTGTTCAGTATGTATAAATTCACGCCAGCAACCAATACAATAAAATCCTCAGCTGCAGCGAGGTCGAATGTCAAACCACTTTCCTTGTTCAACATTTACATACATTTCCACTCGTCGTTATTCCCTCCAATCGGCGAAAAGCCACCACGAAACGGAACCTCGCTTCCGGCTGCAGATTGCTAGCTGTAAGAAAAAACGCAAATTCTGTCATTCCGACCCACCTACCACTTGTGAAATTTATTCGTTATTTACACGTTCCGCCTTGCCAAGCCAATACCGAAACTTCAACTGATGTATGTAGATATTACATTCGTACAAAGTGACAGTAAATTGTTGGTGAGAAAGCATATCTGGACCTAACCCAATGTCATCCTGGCCAATAAATGAAGTAATAAAAAAATTTGAAGCAAAATTTAAAGGCGGACATCCTCGTTGTTCTTTAGTTGCTTCACTGCTTCAAATGTGTCAATAGTGGTTCTCGCTTTTTTGGAACAATAGATTATATACTTTAATAGCTTCACCATGAAACTCAAGATACGCAAAGATTTACACTTGACTCACGTCCATCTTCTTCTGCGATCGAAACAAGCACTTATTCCACCTTTTTTCATCCTTGTGGGAATATTTACGCTCTCAAGCACTGATTCATCACTAGCGGTACAGTTTCTAGTATTTATCTGACAAAAACCTGCAGTGCCGGTATTGGATCAGTCCCAGATGATGTAAATATACTAAGTGACATATAAATCCGAACACCCAGTTTATATGGTTTTATTTTAATAAAATTTTGTATAAGTACTTAATGAAGCATAATAAGTAAATGATAAAAATTTCAAAATGATTGCACTGCTTTAAAGCCCTTTGACCTTTAATAATGTGTGGATGCGCCCTGATGTGCCACGCATCCTCCAATGCACCTAGGCATGCTTCTGATCAGGTGGTCAATGTCCTCCTGTGGTATCTCATAACAGGCAACCACCAACTCCTCTCGAAGTGCTTCTAGAGTCTGAGGAGGACGTTGCAAATTGAGCAATCTCCTACCCATCATATCTCACACGTGCTCAATTGGGGATAAGTCGGGAGATCTTGGTGGCCATGGTAACAATGTGACATCATTATGTTGAAAGAAGTCTATTGTGACTCTTGCAACAGGTGGTCGGGCATTATCTTGTTGGAAAGTTGGATCTGCCAGGGTGTCAATATAGGGTAAACGATGGGGTTCTAGAACTTCGTGGATATAACGCTGCGCGTTCATGTTACCTCTGATGAAGATTAAAGGTGACCTGGAAGCATAAGCTATAGCACCCCAAACCATAATTCAACAGTGTGATGAACATGTCTTTCAACAAAAAACTGTGGATTCCTCCTTTCACCACGTCGCCTTCTAACCCTGGCACGACCATCGTGCATGAATAAACAAAATCGAGACTCGTCACTAAAGACAATACTGTTCCATTCCTGATACCAGAGTGACCGTTGTCTGCACCACTCAAGGCGATTACGTCGGTGTTCTCGAGTTAAAGGGAGGACCCAGTGTGGCCGGTATGAAAACAAGCCAAAACTTCTCATTCGTCGGTAAACACTTCGCATGCCAACAGGTCTTCCGTGCTCTGTAAACCATTCATTTGCAATGGACCTGGTAGTGGAGAAACGGTCCCTTAAGGCCAGTAATCTTAGGCGGTGATCTTCACGGTCTGTTGTTCTACGGCGGCGTCCAGTGCCCCTTGCTCTTTGCGTACGGCCTTCTCGAAGCCATGCCTGACAACACCTAATCACAGTGTCTACACTTCTTTGCACTCTAACTGCAATTGCCCGAAAAGAATGTCCAGCTTCCCGCTATACGGCCCTATCAAAGTCACTAAGTTGACGAAATCGTACAGGTCTCCGTACTCTAGGCATCGTAACCGATCGTAAAGGATGTCAAGAACCAAAATCCGCCAACGTTGATTCTTTACTGCGGTTGAAATATTCATTTTTAGAGCGTTAGTGAATTAAAAAAAAAGCAGTATAAAAACCGGAATGTCCAACTGATAAGGCTGAACATTTTTTCACTTGTTATTTACAGTAAGATAAATACATTTACCAACTTTTATTAAAATAAAACCATTTAATCTGGGTGTTCGGATTTATATGTCACGTATATATACACTGAGAACCAAATCTGTCTGACGGCTTGAGTTGGATGTGTACGAGAGAGAAGCACGTATAGACACATGTATTAGAAAGAGATAGAAGCCGGCTGGATAGCAAAGTTCATCATCGCGTTGGCTAGCAACACTGACGCGATAATCTGCCGCGTTGCCAATATGTTACACCAGTTCCTTGAATTAAGATGCATATTGAAAGTAGGTGTTTACTCTTTACACCCAAATAATGGTTTTATTTTTAGCGTACACATTTTTGAATTGTGAATAGTGTCGAATCTGTTTAGGATTGATTGGACCTAACGGTGCTAAGTTTTAGGTTGAACTGAAAGGTCAGGATCGCCCCAAATTCTGCAACAGTGCATCAATAGTTTGTTTGATAACACCGCATCTTGTACATTCCAAGGCAAGGTTTCCAGTTCCATGATCATAGTTGAGCGACTTTGGCCAGGATCCATCTTGCGCTCGTAGGGGAGTGTTTCACCTGCGTACATGCAGGCAGTGATAATGTGTATTGCGTAACGTTATTTGTTACATAACTTAGGATGTGATAATTTTATCATCATCGGTGGAAATCAAACATAATTCTGAAATAAATTAAAACACTAAGTCGCATCAATACTGGAATAAATAATTCTAATCAAACTGAAAACAAAATATTAAACTAAATGTTCGGACAGCGCTCCTTCTTGGGTTTGATAATTACCAGACCCATTGAAGAACCCTGTGTTAACATTTTCTGGCTTAACATATTGACAACGCAGCAGATTGCATGACCTTCTGCGTCACCGTCGTTAGACAATAGTTCTTCCAATTGCTATTGCTAGAAGCCATCCGGAAACAGACTTTCTGCATGTTATATTTGTTGCTGGGTATCCAAGCCAAATTTTTCTGTGACGCTTTACGTTAAACTATGTACTTTGAGGTATTATATCGCAAAGCTCGCCACCAGGGTAAGAGATTCTTTCCACGTTACCTTCCTGTTTATAAACATTTTCATCAGTCAACTTGAGTCACCCCTTAACTGTACAACTTTCAGATCATCTGATGATCCGATAATACGGTATTTTCCGCTCACACTGTATAGGATATATTTTGTTGATTATCATTTGAAAAATTCCCAAAACGGATCTATCGAAAACCACTGATTAAAAGAAAAAACGACGAGACACGTCAAGGAGATTTGTCAAGAGGGACAACTTTTTAAACAAAACTAATAAAAAATTTTGAATGACAAGGGGTTATTGGGTAACAGCTTGTTTGAAAGGTCTTTCGAAGTCATTTGTATTGACGTTGATTTTTTATAATCGATCGATCCGTTTGCAAGAAAATTAGAAAAACCTTTATTAATCTTAATTAGTTCAGATAGAAAACAAAAATATCACTTTTTATTTAAATAAGCGTTCAAAATATTGCCCGTTCTTGGCTAAACAATGGTGTAGTAGGGGAGCCAAAGCGGGGATTTCGGGATTTACTAAAGCGCGGCAGATGGATATACAGGAGTATACCTTGTACCCATTTAAGTACCAAATATGTGCCCCTTATACACCTTGGGAAAAACATTATTATACATTATGATGAGGAAGAGAGATGGAAATATTCAAAAGTATGTAGGTGCGTAAAAGACACTCGATTGTAGGATCCTATCTGGCAGCGTCGGAGTCTGACGGACACCGGGGTAAAGTAGAAGAGTGATAAAAGAGAGATGGCAGAACGGGCGCTGGCGCCTGCTGCTTAGACGGACGCCCTCAACAAATGCGATTTATTTCTCCCATTCGCAGAGTTGCCGATACCAATATGTCATATTTCTAGGCAATCTAAGTCTACCCAAATTTCGGGAAAAATAGCTGCGGATTCCACATAAGAGTATTCCAAAAATGAAAAAAGTTCAAACTATTAAAAATTGTATTAATGTTTCATGGTTCAAATCATATTTTTCATGTTTGTAGATTGTTGTATAAATGATTTTGTAATCCCTATTTTTGTTGCCAGTAGAGATACAACAGTATTGAGAGAAATCATGGACCGCTAGATAGGGCTACAACTACCATATGACTATCAAATAGTAGTGATAAACAGGGTTTGTTTATAGCACAGTTGCCTGGTGTTGCGAATTTACGATGCCCGGTATTCGGGAATTTGGCAATACCTGATGATTCCTAACGTTTATTACGCCAGATTGTTAGCTGACTTGCGCAGTACAACATGACAATCAACGTGACTGAGCACCTGGTAACCCTGGTTTAAGGTGTTATATTTAAAGAGCTTGGGGCAGTTAGGTATCTACGTCACATTTTTTAATGTATTTCGAGAAATCCGTAATGTTGAGTAAATACTAGATCACGTTTCTTGCTTAGTTTGCTGAAAATTCTACAATAGACGTACATTTTGAGAAACAGAGATTTGGTGACGACAAAATCGTAAAAATATAACGCATTTTCGTAAAATAATTTCTTTGTTGAAAAGACTGTGGCTTGATGAACCATTGAACGAGGATAGTGTCCCGCTCCGCTTTGAATATTCGAAACACTATAGGTACTCCAGCAGCATTCAGCTTCAATGTTATCTTTATGAAGTTCTAACGTCTAGGTCATGCTGATTAAAAGCTTGAATGAATCAACACTTAACTCTAAATTCCCCACAATTCGGGAAGCTCTACTCAAATTGGCAACACAGCGTATCTGCCTATTATTCTCATTCGTGATACAGGTCTGCGGTCTGCTGCAAATTTCAGTATGCGTTGAGTCGATAGAAGAAGTACAGTAGATGCGCGCATTACGCACTAGTTCGATTGGACGTCCTGTGAACCGATTTCGGTGATTTCGAGATTTCACGAAATCACCTAAATCACTCTACTTATTTTTATGAATGGATAATTGGTTTTGTAGCAATAAAGGTTGCGTCTCATAACAAAAATAAGAAGATACCCACTCTAACAAAAAATAGTACACTCTTAAAAATGTGTAACGAAAATAAAAAGATATTCTAACAAAAAAATAACTTCTCAAAAATTAAACGCAATAATGAACACAAATGTTTCAAATGGTCCTTCATAGCTGGAGCTCAAAAACGTCTCCTTCATTCAATGAACAGTATGTCAGGCGGTTATAAAACTCCTGACGAACTCTCAAGAGGGTATAAGGCTGTATTTGCCCGAGCGCTTCAACGATTTTCACCTGTAGGTTATGCAAATTGTCTGCTCTCTCATTGAAAGTGTAAACAGTACTTTTCACATAACCCCACAAGAAAAAATCATTGGACGCTAGATCGGGTGATCTAGGAGGCCATTTTATTGTTCCGTTACCGCCAATAATCCGGTGGCCGAACATACTTTCAAGGTAAGTGTGTACGATCGCCGCATTATGCGCCGGGCATCCATCTTGTTGGAACCAAATATTAGCGAGATCAATGCCAAGCTGCCTAATTGCACGAACAATCTGCGTCTGTAGTAACGCCAAATATTTTGCAGCCGTAAGAGTTCCATCAATAAAGAACGGTCCGAAAATGTTATTACCAGGAATTCCTGACCACACATTCAGTTTCTGTGGATACTGCATGCGGACGGGAATACTGAGGTGTTTATTTTCCCGAGACCAATACCGAACGACTGAAGGATTGGGATGACCGTGGAGAGGGAATGTGGATTCATCAGTGAACAAAATGTTACCAATAAAACTTCCATCGCTGTTCGCCTTCTCCATGACCGTTTCACAAAACTCCATTCGACGGTATTTGTCTAAAGGAAATATTTCTTGAACCGTTCCAACCTTGAAGCTATGATAGCCGTTGCGATGCAAAATATTTCTTGTTGTTCTGGGTGTGAGATCGGCTATTGGTACCATTTCAGCAATTTTTCTGCTTGAGCATGGCTCAGATACTTCTGCAGCGGCACAAACAGCAGTTTCGATCTCCTCCCTTTTCTCGCTAATTTTTGGTTTCCAACCTTCAGGGTGCATGCAGCTATGGCACTTATGTAAGCAGCCCTCCGTCTTGAATTTTTCGTAGGTATTTATAACCGTTGCGTGAGACGGAATTGGCCGATCTGGGAAGCGTACCGCAAATAATTCAACAACCGCGCGTGCTGAATTACTCTGGATGTACCATTCTATCATTTGAAACTTTTCTTCTTGCGAGTACATTTTTAAGATATTTTGGATTAAATAAAGACCCACCTTTCCTACACAAAACCCAACCGCAGAGTGAGTCATGAATCCCTTATCGCACTTGACGACGGCACGCGCGTTAACGGTAGGAAATATGTACGAATAGCGATGAAAGTAGACGAGCCGATGCGCTGTTGCCAAGAAATGATTTCCCATGTATAACAATGGTTTTTCCTAAGGTGTATATGGTCGCCCGTCAAACATAAAGGATCTGATTAGTAAAAAAAATTGATTATCTGAAATTCTCGAGCGTGGCTAAATTTTTTTTTATTTTGAAGGGAATAATTCAAGGGTTACGAAAAATATATAATCTGACGACTTTCACAAGCCGAAGTAATAAAAATTAATCGATAAAGATTAATGCGTGCAGCTACAGGATGCCTATATTCCCTTCTCCGCGTTTCTATTTCTCTCTCACTCTTTCTCTATCTGTTACTCTCTCACTCCGTCCCCACTCTGGTTGCTGTTTCCATGACGCCATGACAGCTGATCGCACAGCTCGTTTGTGGCATGATATTGTTTACAGCGTATTTCCAACGTTTTTGCTTATTTTGTGATTTTATTATTAGTTATGTGAATTGAAGTTTATAAATATTTATTATGAGTGATATTAGTATGAGGTGTGTATTTTGTGGTGGAGGTACTTTGCAAAAAACAATTAAATTTACATTATAAACATCACAAAAATGTTTAGATGTTTTAGAATGTCGCCGGAGCAAAACGGTTGTCCGAAAATCTCGAACAACATACGATAATCTACAACTTTCGATAGAATCTTCATTGAATGAAGTGTATTACGCACAGTCCTATAAATTATTTACTGCAATAAAAATACCGCGAGGCTTTCAGTATTTGCAACCACAGCAAATTGTAATGGATCATGACAATGCATCATAAGCTTCTGGGAATATCTCCGAATTACATCCTTCTGTTTCTGGAGAGTGCTCCAAATCACACGCTAGTGTTGATTCCGCGTCTACTGAGGCTGTTGGTATATCGACGGACGAGTAAGTTCTAATAAGATTTCATCTAGCAAATATAATTAAAAAAACACGTTATTCATAAGAAAAAATATTACTAAATATTTTAATGAATTTTTGTTACAGATACGCAATCTGAGGATGAAATCGAGCCAGAGGAGGAAGATGATTCTACCGATGAAGATGAAAAAAAAATACTCAAAAAAATATAATTATTTATAATTATTTTTTTATAAATACAAGTATTCTACTTAAAAAAACATGCACTTTTTTTATTTGCATTAAAGAAAATAAAATATTTTTTTTTAATTGTCAGATCAGGTGAATCCCTTCAGGTAATCGTCAGATTATGATAAAGCACATCTAGGGCATAAAGATGAACCATATACGAGTATATCTTAATCTGACGCGCTTGAGTATTTCAAAATGACGAATTTTTTTTGCACATTCTAATAATGACCGCGAGTTTGCGTCACATCCAAATCGTCAGATTATTATATAAGAGCTTTCTTTTAGGTTCACTTAACATCCCCTTTGAACATCTGATGCGCTCGATTAATTTTCAATTTTCACCCTTTCGTACGACCACCCCCATCATGGAAACAATCAGATAACATACGAACATTTTTCAAAATATATAGGACATGGATGATATCAATATCTGACGCGCTCGAGTATGTCCATGCAACAGTTTTTTTTTACATTTTTGAAAATCTATAGCCGCTTCCCTCACCGATGAAAAGGACATTTTTTTCGTTTTATCATCTAAGCTTCGCAACCCAATAGGTCTCTATGACGCTCGAGCAAATCCCGATTCAGCATCGTGGGCTAATATAGGCGATGTTTAAATTCCTGACGAACATTTTCAAACACATGTTGTGGGATATCATGGCATTTTTCGACGATACGTTGATGAAGTTCCTTCAAACTTTCAGGGAGGGGAGTAAACACAATAGATCCTAATTTTCATTAATAAACAATGGCCCAATCACTTTGTTTCCTAAAGTGCCTACCGATACATTAATATTTTGGGGGTACTGGGTATGCCCTTCTACAAAGGCATGAGGATTTTTATTGCTCTAATACCTGCAGTTATGCTTATTAACAAATCCATTTAGATATAATGTGAATTCATCACTGAAGCAGATATGCTTTGCATGAATGGTATTATCATTAATCCCTGCGGTAATTTGTTCAAAAAACTCAACTTGAGTATCGAAATCATCTTCGGTTAACTCAAAATGACCCAAAACTTCAACTTGAGCGGCTTAATCCAAAACTCTCCGATGATCCCGTTTTTTATTTGTAACAGATCCAGTTTAAGTAACTTCAGTCAAAATGTCCAGAACATACCTGTTATCTTCCCAAAATCTAAATCAATAAATTAATTTCCACTATCCCAAGACTGTCACAAAGGTAGCTGACAGCAAATTAAATTATTTTTCCCCTTAGCAACAAATAACTAAACTGGTATAATAACAGTGAATACAATTCGTCCAGGTTATCTGTGTCGATGAAAAGAATGCGGAAAAAATGCAGGTTGTTAGTCTTCCAAATTGCTGTTTATGTTGGTAGTTACCATTTTGAATTATAAACGAATTGTAGATTTGGCAAACTCTAACGCGCAACATTTTGAACACTTGTTGAAATAAATAGTGATATTTTCGTGTGTTCTTGTTCTCTATATGAACAAATTCAGATAAATAAAGATTTTCCTAATTTTCTTGAAAATGAATAGACGTATTTTAAAACATCAAACGTCAAAGTAAAGAAATTTGAAAGATCTTTTAAGCGAGCTATCACTAGAAACCCCTTGTCATTTAAATATTTTAAGCGAATGACCCTGGCGGGTGGAGGGTGAAAGTGGTAAGCTGGTTTGCGGTTAAAATCATTTGACGTGTCTTGGCGATTTTTCTTTTAAATACACATAAGTATTTTGCATAAACATTTTACATGTCCACCACTAGACTGTATACAATTTTTTCTAATAATTGGAAGACCGTCGCTATACTTAGCAAAAGCATTTATAACTTTGAACATAACTTCTCTTGATAAACTACCACTCAAATAACCCACCTGGTACAGCATATTCAGTAATGATTCTCTCACACAGCAAATATCACTGATTCTACACAAATGCAGACCAATACATACAATCATCCAAATATGATCTGGCTACCCTGCTACTCAACCAGTCTTCTTTCTATCACATCTTTTAAGAAATATAATTCTACATTATCACGGCATTCTGCAACCAACAAAGCATGCTGGGGAACTGACTTACAGCTGGCTACTGAGCGTCTTGTTGAGTCATTCCTCCACAAACGACGCTGTTAGTGATGCTCACAGCGACCAATAGCGGAATCAACTCTTTTCCGTAACTAACTAGTCAGCAATTTGACATTTTATCGTTTTATATAGTTTTTTTACGTAATAACCCTGTAGAGCACGATTGCATGTATATATGAAGGAGATAGACTGTCACCTGCCAAAAGCCGTGAAAAGACCTATAGATAATGCCGAAATATCGGTTTCTAATATTATTGGTATCGGCAGTGGTTTTACTATGTCACTTTTTGGAGCTTTTATTGTTGGGCGTAACCGCTTTATTAATTTGCGTAAACGGAAAAATAAGAATGTTGTACGTCGAAACGTGAGCTAGATCCAATATTTACGCTATCGGTATATTTGCTGTGTATTTAAGGCGAAAAATGCATAAACCCAAAAATCTCGTATTATTGATTATACTGCAACGTTTTCAGCTGCTACATTCACCTTTATTGAAACTTTTCCTGAATGAATGTAAGCCTTCACCTTTTCTGACTAAAGTGGTGCCTGCTCGAAAATAACACATTTCAGCCTACCTCCTAATTGCGTATATTTTTATTTTTTCTGAAAGGGGTTGTGGTTCAAAATGAATAGATTCACACCAACAACCAATGCAATAAAGTCCTCGAATATCATACCACTTTCCTCGTCCAACATTTACATCCATTTCCACTCGAGAAAATTCCCTCCAAACGGCGAAAAGCAACCACGAAACGGAACCTCGCTTTCGGCTACCGATTGCTAGCTATTCGAAAAAACGGAAATCGTTCCAACACACCACCACGTGTGGAATTTATTCGCTATTTACGCGTGCCGCGTTGCCAAGCCTACACCGGAAACTTCAACTGATGTACGTAACTGTTAAATTGATATAAAGTGAAAGCAATTGTTGGTCAGAAGACATATTTGGAGCTGACTCCATGTTGTCGTGGCCAATAAACGAAGTAATGGAAAAATGTGAAGCAAAACTTAAAGGTGGAAATTATTGTTGTTCTTTAGTTGCTTCACTGCTTCAATGTGTCAATAGTGGTCCTGCTTTTTTTAGAACAATAGTTTATGTACTTTAATAGCCTTACCATTGATCTCAAGATACGCAAAGATTTCCAATAGGTACCCGTATCTCCATCTTTTGCTGCGTTCGGAATAAGCACTTATTCCACCTCTTTTCAGCCTTGTGAGAATATTTCCGCTCTCAAGCAGTCATTCATCATCAACAGTACAATTTCTCGTTTTTCTGTGACCGAAACCTGCAGTTCGTTCAGTATATGATCAGTCCCGAATGCTTTACATCTTTTCATGATGAATATCTTCTTCCAGTTCAGGCATCACAGAGTTCTTGCATATCCAATAGTTCTTCCAACTGCTATTGCAGAGTCATTTCGGAAACAGACCTTTCGCATGTTATATTTGTTGCTGGGTATCCAAGGAAAGTTTATCTGTGACGCTTTAAGTTCCACTATTTTGAGGTACTGTATTCTAAAGCACGCCACCAGATTAAGGAGCCAGAGTATGGTTCCAAGGCAGCCGATCGTGCGAAGCGAAATGCACGCACACAGGTGAGCCAGTAACCCAGAAAAAACACTAGCAGTATGCTAAAACGTCAAGTTTCACAACATATTGATGTCTTTGAAAGACAGTCTCTATTATATAGAAGAACATACTTGTAATTGTCACTCTGCTTGTGTAGTATCGACACTTTTTGAACGTTATCGTCCTGTTTACCAACATTTTCACCAAACATCCCAAAGCACCCTTGAATTGTACAATTTTCAGATCCTCTGATGCTACATTTGGTCTTGATGATCGTTCAAATTTACAATTGCTAAATATTATAATTCTCTTCCTTATTATCTTAAATCATGCAATCCACATAAATTATGTGTTTTTTGTTAGTGTTAGGTTAGGATATTTCTTTACATGTATTCTACTACTGGCAAGGGTTGAGTAGAAGAACACATTCTAGGTTAACTCCCTCTT